AATTGGCTCTAAATTAAGACTTGGAATCTGACTTTTTACAGTGACCATGGTGACCGGGAAACATGTTTCTACTGCCACAGTTTTAATAAAATTATAGGCACTTTGGAATGTTGTAATGTTTCATGACCGCAACATGTTGAGAACAAAGGTAGAAATCCAGCTCATCACAATGAAATGCTTGAAACATCCACAAAATACAAATACAGGTTTGTAGATTGGTGTTGACTTTACCAGTGATTTAATGAGAACTTTCCATGGAACACTTTTCACACATTCACAATATATCTGCAGTAAAATAAACGTCACACACACAATTTTGAAATAATATTGAGACTTGCGAGTACTGTATAAGTAATAAACAGTCCTCCATCCGTAACATACTGTAAATATATATTCTATAGTTATGCATCTACTTATGTTATGCCATTGTGAAATCTTCATCAGTCATTTCTTCGCCCAAGTGCAAAAATCTGACAAAAACAACTACATTCACAAGTGCCTTTCCAAAATGACCAACAACAACAGTGTCATTTCATCCCATCACCTTAAATATCACACTTGTATGGTTAGCAAAAACACTTCAGTCTTGCATAAAAACATATCACAGCAGCATTTCTTCATCAAAGCTTTCATCTTTGTTTTTCATAACCCATGCAGATAAAATGCTGTGAAACCAAACTAGAGGCATGCAGTATGAGTCCCACTAATGACAGGAGCATATACAGTATACAGCATATATATATCTATAGATAAATATAAATATATATATTCATGGTGGGTCGTACTGGTGTGTGTTCAACGCCTCATCCTCCGGTAGAAAACGGCAGCCACCACAAACATGGCAGCTACAGCAACAGCCAGGATGCCCACAGCAATCTCCAGACCCTTGGTGGTTTCTTTGGAGGTAAGCGCGTGGGCTGAAACACAGGAAGCACTGGTCAGCCACAGGAGGGCATTGAAGGCAGCACCGGTCTATCGTTACAGAAAGTGCCACTAATGTAGGTCCTAAATCATTGTTTTGAGTATCTTAAAGTAAGATTTGTAGAAGTATTTCAGGTAGAATCTGTAGGTAGTGGTGGTATAAGTAAGGCTAACAGCTGTGTTCTTTGACATAAAATTGTGTTAGTTGTAATAGGACCATGTCTTGTCTTGGTCTGGTTTGATCCTGGTTTTTGTCCAGATCTGTTCTTGGTCTGGGTCTGGTCTATTTTTGGTTCAAGTCAGTTTTTGGTCCATTTTCAAACCTGATTGCATTGAGAAACAGTTCGAATAAGAAGTACTGAGGAAGAACATGAAGGAGAAAGAGTCTTTTTAGTACTTAAGGATTTAATACCTTTTGCTGGGACAGGTTCAACTGAAAAGAAAAAAAGAAAAATCAGTATCACACATTGAAAGCACGATGTTGATTTGTCTTATTCTAGAAATGAAGCAATAAAGGACTTGAAAGATCAGGTTTTTCGCTCAGAAAAGATCAAATTGTGTCTCACAGGCATGGACCTATAATAATAACTGGATAGAGTATTACTAGCATATAGCAGTCCCACCCACGGGCACAGGGGGCGCTGTGGTGCTGCAGACTAAATTCATATGAGCTACCCAGAAATAAAGCCCCATAGAACTCAATGTAAATTAAAACAGCACGACGTCAGCTGACAGAGAACCTGACAGAGAACCTGACAGAGAACCTGACAGAGAACCTGACAGAGAACCTGACAGAGAACCTACAGCTTTCATACATTTCAGCTTATGTGGGGATTTTAGTGTCCCTTGTCATCCTGAACTTATTTTTTTCTTAAATCCTTCAGTTTTCTTTAAATCCACACTTTACTGCCACAAACTCTGCTCATTTCCTTCCCGCTCTGACTCCGCTCTGCTGCTGCTCTGATCAACTCGTCCAAATATGGACGAGTTCTGTTAATCTCCCGGTCCCTGTGAAGTCCCATGAGCTACTGAGCACAAGCCATTCTTTTGAATAGGGCGCCATCTTGGATCACCCGGGCTTGGTCACAGGGCTCTTTCTTACCCTAACCCTAACCCTAAGTACATTTTTTTTTGCAAGACTAATCCATAGACTCCTATTTATGAAAACAAAAACATTAGATACAGGGAGGAAAGCATGAGCACAACTTGTCCTTGGAACTGTATCTTGTTCATACCATTGTCGTTCTTGATCACAATAGGCTTGTTCAAGGACAGAGTGGTGGGTTCAGTGATTCCAGAAGACTCCACATCTCTTCTCCTCCTTCTTTTTGCGCATTGCTGTAGACACAGATATTTGTAAATCAGTGTTTTAAAACCGGACCGGTCCAACAACACAACAGAAGCATTTTCAGACCTTGAACGATGAGCAGGTGCTGATCTCACACAGTCTGATGATGCAGTGGAGGTAGTAGGTCGACACCGTCTCATTCTGCTGCTCAATAAAGCGGAAGGCAGAAAAGGAGAATCTTGCTTTTTGGCTGTCTCCGTTTTTGTACATTTTCATCAATGGATCCTGGCTACATCTGCAGATCGGGAGCTTTCGTTCAGAGATAGGCACAAACGCATTTGTCTCATGCAATAGGAACTTACGAGACAAAAAGGTTATGGAACGAGGAGTTGGTCGGAAGAGGTGAAATGGAAGCGTAGCATCTGTCCATCAGAACATGGTATCTGTTGATTAAGAAATGGGTCAGGGCAAGAGTATGCAAGATGTAGGTACAGGGGTCCCTCGTTTATCGCAGGGGTTACGTTCTAAAAATAACCCATAGAAAGCTACATCTGTGACGTAGCAGCTCTATGTTTTAAGATTGTAAAACCCCTTAGCACACACTTTATACACTTTTCTAACCACCTCTCCAGGAGTAATCAAATCCGTGCATTCACGATAAATTACAGCCGCAGAAGACACCGTGCGGAGGGGCAAGAGCAGAAATGAGACCGCGATTGTCTTCTGAATCATTGTGGTGCACATAAGCATAACAGTTTTCCACCAATTTTAAATAAAGTGATCACACGGCTCCTCACAGCAGCAGCAGAACGCTCCATTGATTTTAATGTAATTTCAAAACTTTCTACCGGTCATTATTTCTTGATAACGGACCTCTCAAAACAATAATGACCACTGCCCTTTGGCAACGCACTCTGTCCTTGTAATTCAGATGTAGATTACTCCGCAAGTAGTTCCAGCCACTCCGGAGCTAGCCACGCCCAAAAAACGTAAATACCACTCAATCAACACATTTAAATGTTAATTCGAGAAGACAATATACATTTACATTCTTAACACACGTGCACAGAGATTTTCAGAATTATCTGTTAAAGTTTTCATGACAAAAATACTGTTTTAATACGAGATAAAGCGATCGCGAAAAAAAACCGGAAGTAGATTCTGGGACATTTTAGGGCACATTATTATGGATTTATAAATATGGATCATTATTATGGAATTATGGATTTAGTTTAAGTTTGTGTATGGGTCACTCACCGCTGATATTCAGAATTCTTTGTTCAGTACTTATTTTTTAATAATGACCTGCCTAATATATATTATCCCTTACGTAACTGCCATGCTAGAGCAGCTGTTTTATGATGCTGTATATAATGTTGTCGGCGTATACATGCGGCACATGAGAAGCATTCTGAAAAGAAGCTTGCAGAACTACACACACTAAAATCCGCAAAACAGCGAAGCCGCGACCTGTGTTATAGCGAAGGACTAGTTATGGTCAAAAGTTTAGTATATCACTCCATATACGTCTTTATTTCAACTTACAATGTGAAACTATATGACAGACTCATTACATGCAAAGTGAGATACAACAAGTCTTCATTTGTTATAATGTTGATAACTATAAGTCACTGCTTGCAAAATTATATAATAAAACATCCAAGAAAAAGATGTTTTCAAAAATGGACTATTAATGGCCATAATAACCATTAAAATGATTCTAAACAAAGTCTTGGCATTTATCACTTTGCTTATAATTACGTTTAGTCAGTTGGTTTCATGTTTTGAGTTGAATCACATAAATAATTTTTCAAAACATTATATAATGAGGGTTTTATCTGTGAGCCAATTACCAATAATAGGACATGTATAGTCCTGATATATCGCACTTGGTCATTTATCAGTTTCACATTGCACAAAGGTAAATGGACATTTGAACAACTGTATAATGAAGAACCACTTAAACTTACTGGTCTGTCAAATTGTCTGCTCTGACCTGGACGTAGACATTGGTCCTGAGCTCTAACCCAGCGGTTGGTATCTCCATAGGTTTCAAAAATGTTGAATCCTAGAACAAGTATGACATATTTTTTAAGTATTGCAGCCAGAAGACAACATTCTTGACTCCGATAGTTCTCCACACTCACACTATAGAGTTCCATGCTCAAAGTGCTGATGAAACTTCCATTTTTGTCCCGCACTGCGATGGAAGATGCCGACCTACATGGGACCAAGAGTGGAGTTAAGTAGAGTGGTGGCTGTGATATACCTGAAAAGTGAATATCTTACACATCTATGCGCGTGTTGTTGATCAAGTACTCCAGTGGGTAGGCACATGAGTAGTAGTAAGACAGCTCAGCGTTGTAGGTGACCTTTCCCTGGGAGGGGTCCAGCGAGCGTAGGATCCCACTGATGTTCACTGTCTCAATGTTGGAGAAATCCGAGAACACACCGACCCCTTTTGAACTGTTTGTCTATGAGCAAAAACAGATGTGAACAACTTCCATTGTTTCTCATTTTTAAAAGATTATTAAACGGGCGCCAGGTCTGTCCAGAGAAATATCAGATAATACCTTTTTGTACAGACCGAGCCGAGGTCTGTGCAAAAAGACCAAGGTCTGATATTTCTACTGTACAGACCGAGCAAGCAATCTCTTCTGTGTCTTTACCAATGCTTTTTAGATATTTGTGAAGTATGTTCATGTCCAACTTGGTTTTCCTAATCGTGTTTTTAGCTTTCTGGTCTGTAACAAAGTTGTCAATCTCTTCTTAAGGAGTTGTGTTTTTGTCCTTATTTGTGCTGTTATTACTTCCTCTGGCTCTTCAAACTCGTCCGGAGAATAGAATTCACTGGAGAATGCTCCCAGTCTCCCGTGCTGCGGACCAATTGTCATGGTAACGGTCCAAGATGGGAAAATATCAGACAATCAGAGTGCACAATAATGTAAATTCCTGATCGTGGGACTCTGAAATATTATGTTCAGCAAGAATTTTTCAACAATGATATATTCAAAATAGTCCCTCCCCTTGGCATAACTCGGACCAGAATGATTTGCTGGAGGAGAATAGTTAAACCAACGGCAAGGGGTCTCAAGGATTTTAATTAATTTCTACCAATCAGGAATCTGCGGAGGGGAGCATGGGTGAGTCTAAGTTTCCTCTCTCTCTCGTCATAGTTTGAGAAGTAGCTGCCCTCCAAACAATCCAATTCTCAGCCAATGTTTTCTGCAAAAAAGTGATCCAATATTCAGCATTACATTTTTGACTCAAGCACATCTTTTATGGGAAGATGATATCAATAAATGTTGCCAAAAAGGCTGTGACCCAAAACTAGCTCCTCCCTGTCCAAGCTCACCTGGAATACTGGACAGATGTGTGATTTGTGCTGAAAAATCCTGTTTTCTCTTGTATTTCTGGCTACGTCCTGGTTTGAAGTCGGTTAGAAGAGATTTATACTGGCATGGGCTTTATTTTCCACTAAAATATAATCTGATATATTTCCAGACATCCAAAAAAATCCAGCCCTTGGTAAAAATGAATTGAATTTCCCTCCTGTTCATACGTAACAAATAAAAGCACATACCAGAAAAGTACTCCCACAAGCATGCGTCATGTTGATGGGGAATGTGAAGCGGACCACCGGTGGGATCACGCTCTCGTCCAGAGTGCCCTTACAGTTGGGGTTGTTGAACACGTTGTTGATGACCAGGAGAGACTCGTTGTAGCCGGTGTAGAGGACAGGACACAGTTGGATGGCCAGGCTTATGTAGGAGGTACCACATTCAACCGAGATATCGCTGAGCTCTAGAAAGGATCAGTACAATACGTTAGCAACAAGCTTACAACATGCTAAATGCGCTTGCTTTGCATTTGATCACAGGGGAAAGTCTGGAAATTAGAATACCGTCTGAAAGTCTGTTTGATTCTTAACTTAATGTGAAAATTATACATAATACACACCGATTACAAGCAAAGTATCATATGTCAAGCCTTTGTCATTATGTTGATTTGGCTCACAGCTTGTAAAAACGCCAAATAAAACCTCTCTTGGAAAAATATCATCATGATGATAATAATAAACAAAGGCACTTTTGTGTGATGAGGGAATAACATGAATTGCTTTCACATTTGAAGATGGATTACAGAAATAGATGAGCTTTTAAACAATATTCACATTTTCAGAGTTTCAACCGGAGCGTTTTTTTTATTTTTTATTTAAAAGGAATTCACACCTGAAAATCAAGAAAAGCAAACTACAGAAATCATGCAGGGTGGAAATAAATGAATGCATGAATATACACATTCACAAAAGGAGAGCTGTACGATACCTGGACGTCTCCAGTCGGTGGGAGAATCAGTGCATATGGTTTCATCAGAAAGATCGGTTTTCATCGATGGTATCTGGCTGGTGATCTGGCTCCTGCCAACAACCACCACCGAAGCCAACGTGACAAAGCCAAGGAACTTCATAATTTTAGCAATCTGCAACAAAACAACTAGAATTGAAGATATTTTCCCAAAAGGCCTGATCATTCACAAAGCTGGCCCCTACTTCTAATGATCCCGATGGACATGTCTTTTCTAAAATCTCAGTAGAAGTTCTTTTTATACCGCTGACACTCACCCGTAAATTCTCTTGGATTGGACGGAAACAAGGTCGCTGCAGTTTGGCGTGTCCACCTTCCCTTGACTTTAGGTGGAAGACGAAGCTGGGACTTTACCTTAAGGCTTATTATGAAACCCAACCTACTCCTGTTGTTTGGAAAGAGGGGGCAAACACAATAGCAATGCCCTTGTTTTGTAAAATAGAGATTGTCTTAGAATGTTGATATGAGAGTCCCATGAAGAAAGTGTCACATCCCATGGGACAGGAGACAATGCTTTGATGGCCTCCTCTGCCTTAATAATAATAGCATATAGTCTTTTTACGGTACAAAGGAGGCAGTGGGAATGGTCCCTGCCCCAAGAGAGTGTAGTCAATACAAGACCTACTGACATTGTGTTCTTCTCATTACAACACAAATCTTCACACTTTGATTTATGACGCTGGAATTATTATTGGAAGGATAGGTTTCATTCATAATTTTATATTTGATTTATTGTATAGACGTGTGGGAAAACGGCTCTAAATCACTTCCATCCATCCGTCTTCTTCCCCTTAATCCATTTATTGCACATTAAAAACGCCCTCTATATAAGTGAATATAAACAGGGCAGTGGTTGGGTGTAGGGTCGGAAAAATGTATGGGCCTGTGTCTTTTTGCATTGTGTTCCTGTTCTCTACTGTTTTTTGTGTGTCTTGGGTCACACATGGTCTCGTACAATTCCTTTTCAAAACATGCGCGTATATCTGTCCGTATCTACTTTTGCTTATCTACTTTCAATGACCTGTGAGTGTGGTCCTGGTCCATCACGAACACAAGTCAAACTTCTCAACATTCAACATTCTCTCAACATTGTGGAATTGTAGATTTCCAGGCGATGTTGTGGAGAGCTGAACCCTCTAACTTATAATTCACAAATACTATTATGATGTCTTCTGTTACCTAGTAATGGTGAAATTGTCCTGCACTTTTTGATATATTTTGATACATTATCTGTGTCTCTCTGTGTATACCCTATGCTCCTCCCCTGTTTTCCTGACAGGAGCAAAGGTCTCAGCAGTGAAGCTCTGAGAAACCCAGCTTCAGATTATTTCTGGTTTGCTGAAACTTTTAAAGATGGGGTACCTTTTTTCATAAATAATGCATTGTCCTTTGTCCCAACAAAACAAGTCTCGCAAAAGTAACATTTTGTAAAGAAATCAGACGACAAAATGCTGTAATATAGAAACCATATTTTTGTGAAGATGTTAAAGATGTGACAAAGGCCAACAAAAACATGTATAAAAAAAATATTTAGAGCCAAGAACGAGTTAGATGGATTTTATGACATGGTTCCATTGTTGTGGTTTTAAAGTTATGTACCTCAGCTTTAACATGTCATTTTTATTGTCAAGCTCTATTTTGATACTAGAGAAATTACTTGATTCTCTGTCTGAAAAGCTGATCAAAATGAGAGGCCCAATAACACGTGTGTGATAACTAATGATAGAAGCAAACTGTTTGAGAGCAAGAAACAATGGCATTCAATTTCAATTCATTTTTTATTAGGAACACAGAGAAAACTGGCTCATATATAAAAATTAAAAAATTAAAAAAACATACGTATACAATAAAACTAAAAACAGGTGTAAAGGCAGGACCTCCAATGCCTTTATAAGTCAGAGGAGAACCTAACAGAGCTCCTCCTAGGACAGACCGGAGCTTGGACATTGTTGTTGTTTGATACTCCGATCCTCAGGTTTAAAATGAGGCCTGTGCAGCGTGATGACCAATGGATGCCATGACTCTAATAATCAGTGTTTTCTTTGAAACTTTTACTCACTAATCAATATAATTATGAGTGTAATGATTACTGAGAAGGACCTGATGCTGTATTTATCCTAGTCTTACACTGAGCATGCATGGTAGGTACATACAGTATGAAACTCTCTCCACTCTGTTGCTATAGGGACACACTTCTCTTAGTGACAGCTGCGGATAGAGAGGATAATAGTGTCTTTTGTTAAGGTTCTCACGAGACAGCAGCAGAACATGTAACTACAAAAAAGTAGTAAAAGTAAAAGTAGCTACTATATAAAAAAATCAAACTGGGAGCTGTCAAGAAATCTTTAAGCACACTATCAAATACGGCAGGTCCATAAGCCCCCTGCTTTAGGCATTGAATTACAGTCAAGCACAGTCCAAAGTAGCCCTTGTTATCTTACCTCTGAACAAACCATTGAATAAACCAGTGCCTAGGGAAATCACACAATCACATACTTTTGTATTCAGAGGTGGATAATCTGAAAAATCTTGTTCGGCATAATTTCCCACATTGATTTTATGGTAATTTGGCAACAGATATTTTCTCTAGCAAGGACCGCGCCTCAGCAAAAAATGCAATGGAAACATGTTTATTGATGGATAACACAAGCTTAGTTGGATCGCACAAAAGTGTTGGTGGGGGCAAAAGGGATGGTCATTTTAAATGAGGTGTTATGTGTTTATTAGGGCTGTCAAAATTATTGCGTTAACGCACGTTAATGACATTTTCATTAGTCGCGCTTTAAAAAAAAAAAACACGTTTAACTGTCCGAATGACCCGCCAAACCATCCCATAATATCACTCAGAATGCCGTGGACACATGCGTGTGTGAGATGGCAACAGAGCAGGTAGGATAGATAGATAGATAGATACAGTAGATAGATAGATAGATGGATAGATACTTTATTGATCCTTGTAGGAGAAATTCAGGTGTCCAGTAGCAGGAAAAATAAAATTGATCATTCTAAAAAGCTAATAATAGTAATAATCAGTCACAGGCCCTCAGGTCACAGCAGCAGAGGTGGAGTAGCCTCTGGGTGGAGCAGGACGGGTCACAGCAAAGTCCAAAGTAAAATGTTATATGCTTCATTAGCATTTTTCTAACAGTTACCATTCCTCCAGTGGATTTTTAACTGATCTGTTCGGACCATGAATCCTCTCTGCTCTGGTCTGGACCAGTGTAAAACCATGAAAACTGGTCATATCCAATACACGCCACAGAACTATTCTCTCCATGTTGTGTGCGTGTCTTTGCATAACCTGTGCACGCAAATACACCGCTGAAGCTGAACTATGGAGCCTCAGAATGTGTCCGTGTCTCCTCCTGAAACGCAACTAAACTCACTAAATTAAAGCTGGGGTACGTACATTTTTCCTTTCTCTAACAGCTCATGTTGGTTGTGCCCAAAAGTAAAAGGTTCTGAGCAAATCAAACAGATTTAGGAACATTTGGTTTGAATGACAATGTGACATTACATTTGATAATCTAATCTAGTGGATTTAAAATAGAATGTTAAAAATGTGATTAATTGTGAGTGAACTCACCATTACTATGCAATTAATCAACTAAAAAACTTTAACTGTATGACAGCCCTATTTTTTATACTTTTCATGCATGTTGTGTGTTTTTATTTATTTTACGGACTTCACACCTCACTAAGATTCGACTTTATGTCTGCCATCTTGGTTTGCGTCGGCTGCCAGGAGACCATGGATCTATAACATGAGTGCGCTCTTTTTCTCATCTAGTCACTTTACTGCCCTTTACAAAGTCACTTTACTGCCCACTATAAAGTCACTTTACTGCCCTTATAAAGCCACCGTATTGCACTGCTTAGTAAGTGCACTTGTATATAATAATCATAATAACTTTACTTTTAACTCTTTCTATCTTAAAAAGATCTATACTTTAGAGATGTTTAGAAATGTTTTAGAGATGTTTTGTTATGCCTTATATTATTATGCATTATTCTTCTCTATTTTTCCTCCTTCACCGAGAGCCAAAGCAATATCCTAGACTGTGACTTCCTGTTACTTACATGGCAATAAAAATGATTCTGATTCTGAAACCTACGTTACACCCGCGATCCTGATTGGTTCATTATTTCTTGCTATCTTGTAGGAGTTTGCATTGTGCTTGATCCCAGACCCTTGTGTTCAGGGTCTCTGGTGGAGCATGGCAGAACTACAAGGGTCTCGAGAGTCAGGCAAACAGAGAGGTGGAGCTGCGTGCAGAACCGAGGAGCGACAGGGTCTGATTTTAGCCCCCCATTGTAGTCCCCTATTTTGACCGTTATAGCCATGCGTCCATTTCCTATCCACATTCTACACACACTTCCTCCAGCTCATCCGGGGGGACCCAAAGGCGTTCCCAGACCAGCTGGGAGTCCCTCCAGCGAGTCCTGGATCTTCACTAGGGTATTTTTAAATCTGCTTTTATGGTCAAGAGGAAGTTTTAAAATCATAAAGAGATGAAAATAGTACATTCAAAATAGTGCAGACAAAATCTTTCACAAAACTTGTTTTCTTTTTCCCCCCTAGATTTAGTCGTTGTCAGAGTAGAAGCTAAACATTTTCATGAACACTGGTCCAGATTATTTTATAAGGTGCCTTCACACTCTGGTTCCCTTTATCTAGATCTAGTCTGGTTCACACGGTGAACCAGGTGAGCCAGATGTAAGATGGATTAAGTGGACTGGACTTGCTCACGACCTTCACATTTCATAATTATTACCTCCATGAAAAATATAACTGAATCATGTACAGTATAACCCCGTCAAGCTGATACTGAGCATGAAGACTTTAACTCTGATGGGTCTTGTTCACCACTAAAGGAAGGCTCAAGCACAAGGTTGGTGGATGGACCAGTGCAGCTCCTGCACCCATGGTCATGAGCTTTGAGCACAGACAAAAGGACGGGATCACAGCATCTAAAAGAAGTCAAAATTTGTTGCTGGGCTATCTAGTCACTTAGAGGTAGGGTAAGGAGCTCAATCTGGGGGATCTCCTGTCTCCTGGATGTCCCACCGGGAGTAGAACCAGGATACTACTGTAGGGACTATGCGTCTCCTCTGCTGACCTAGAAACAACTCTGTATTCTTCCATTTGAGTGGGAGGAAGGTAAGTGACCCCGAGCCTCGGCCAAAGATAAAGTAGAAGAACATTTATGGACGAATTAGCCATGTCTTATCCATTTGAACCTGCCTCAAGAGGTTGACATGGATCTCATAAAAAAACAAAGCCAAAACACTTGGCTCCCATGTCTCACAAGTGATTACCTAACTAATCAAATTAAATGACCCATGCACAACACTATTCACACTTTTGACCAGAATGCTCTAGCTGCTGCTGATTTACTGTTGAAATATCAGCCTTTGATTATTAAAGGTAAATCGAGGAGACAGTCCCAGCATGAGACTCTCTCACCTGACACCAGACTGTTGACAAGCCTGTTGAATGTGATCACAGGGCTGCTGTCATCCTAGATTCCATTGGTCCTCATGGACAATGACCTCACAGCACGGCAGAGAACAAGCAACAAGCTGACATAAAACATGTCCCGTGCCACCCAATACGTCTGCAGTGCTTTGTATGATGTGCGTAGTCTACTTTGATATGCTGGATCACATTACATACAACATATGACCAGCAAATGTGGGGTTTCCTCCCTATGTTCTCACTTTGAATTAAGGTCTGGGAATTCAGCCATTTAATAAGCAATAGCAAGGGTTTTCTTCCACTTTTTTCCTTTGTTGTGTTTATGTGTGTGTATGTGTTTATTCCATTTATCATTATATAATTAAATGCCTTATTTGATACTGGATAAGTGGAACTGATAAATATACACTTTTCTGGTAGAGAGCACTTTTTTTACGCGCACCCAAGGAGCTTCTGAATTTTGTTTTGCATTAACCTTCATTGACACCTCAAAGAAAACCGCACCGCGCAAACGAGGGCGCTGCCGCGCCATGATTTGCTCCCGTAGCCATAAAATTGTAATGACTATTGGTTTGGCTACCCATGTAAAACTTTGGCTTAGTCAGTAGGGGGCGCTAAAGAGCCAATATAATATTTCACACCTCGGCCCAGGAGTGGTACTACCGAGTCAAGTTTAGTACAAATCAGACTTTGTATGTGTGAACAGGAGCACAAGTATAATCTATAATAACCCTAAACCTAATCTGTGAGTGTGTCCATATATATACATTCTCCACTGGATGACCATGTGATTAATCACAATTCTATGAACAACTATTGATTGTACATGTGTTGCGATTTTCAGCCAAATCGGTGATACGGCCGAGGCTGGTTTGATGTTTGTGCGGGGTGTGCATTTGCCGTTGACATAGAATGGGGGGTGTTTGACGTCGCCACAGCAACAGGGTAAAAAATAAGTCTTGGTCTCATTGGCTTTTTGTATCAAAAGGGCAAAACTGAATTATGTGCAACATTTCAAACATTTTGAAAAAACTAAATGTGATTATCCCCATGTAAAACTTTGACATAGTCTGTAGGAGGCGATAATTAGCCAAATTGAATGATTTCACTTTCAATTGACCTCGTCTCTAGATTTAAACAATTGATTACAATCTTATGAAGAAGTGAACTTCGGCAAAATATGATTTGGTGATGTGCACATCCCGCACACCAAAAAGTCTCACATCAAAAAGGATTTTGAAATGATCAAAGGATTTAATGGAACCTGAAGCAACATGTTTCTGTTGCCTTGAACTGCAGCGTTAGAATCTCTCATGTCTCCAACACTGTATGTAATGACTGATATTTAATTCAATGTTTATCCTGGGGCCAAACATCACTGCTCACCACCAAGTGACAGATGGTCTAATACTGTACACTGGAACGCCCTAGTGTATACTGTAGCACTGTCACATGCATTCATGAACTCACTGGCCCACTTTGGAGCTTGCACTGTAAGGTTTCAGTTAAGTAATTATTGTAACAATCTGAGAATGAAAGCATAAGTGGGATTTGTACAAGCACATTAAAACCACATTAATGCAACAGAGCAGTGGGGAAAAAAAACCTCCCATAAAGTTAGCACAGAACTGTTGCCCTTTCCTTCCTTCTGTGGAGGCCGAGATGGACCAGTGCGAGTGAGATGTTTGTCACTGCAAGAGTCAACACTGCGGGCACTCATGTACAGCTTCATTGGATGGCTGAATAGGTCTGTCAATGACATAGTTGTGTCACTGGGAGATATCTGTTGTGGTGCGGCCCGTTATCAGTCGAGGATGTGGGCGCACTGGTATAGTTGTCTTCTGTCTTTTTAAATTGTACGTCTTGTCCTTTTTTGTGTGTGGCAATGTTGGACCATGACTCCGTAATAAAAGCTTCATTCATTCATTCATTCATGGGCTGCTGGGATTTGTGTAATGTGAACACAAATATACCAAATATTATATATTAATATGGGCGGCACGGTGGCTGAGTGGATAGCACTCTCGCCTCTCAGCAAGAAGGTCCTGGGTTCGAATCCCGTTCGGACCAGGGCCTTTCTGAGTGGAGTTTGCATGTTCTCCCCGTGTCTGCGTAGGTTTCCTCCGGGTACTCCGGTTTCCCCTACCACTAAAAATATGTCCAATAGTTCTGGCATGCGCTTCCTGTACTGGCGACCCCGCTCCCATCTCTGTGTGGAGTAAGAGACAAATGCCCAAAAATTAACAATTGTAAACCGCTTTGAGACTCAGATGTGCAGTGAAAAGGCGGTATATAAATAAAAACTTACTTACTTACTTACTATTACAGTAATTTAGGTAGCAATAAGCATTTCCACATTAGCATGTCAGGGACGTGTGTGTCTGTGTGTGTTTTTCTTATGTTCTTTCCTGTAATGTTATCATAAAAACTACACACAGGACAATACTTCAGGACAACATCATGTAACAAGAGTGAAGCTCTGATCATCAGAAATTTGGGCTGTTTCTTTCCTTTATTAAGTTGTCGCTGTACAAAATATGTTTCTGTGACTGACCAGCTTGTGCCTGGTCATGCACAGACTTAATGATGTTATTGTGTTTGTTTTGATTTAAACTAGAATGACTGTGAATGACCAAACGACAGTGAAGTCAATTGAAATATACTGTAGCTACTGTAATCCATTATGGAGTCCTAGGTGCACTGCGCTGTGACTTTAGAAAAATAACGTTTCTGTCTTCCTCGTGGTGAAAAACTGATTCCAAACAACACGCCAAGCTTTCCGACTGTTATCCCTGTTCGACGCATCTTTTCAACATGGGTTTTTCTCCCACAGTGGGAAAATCCTTATATTGTATTTATGAATCAATCTCCACAGACCAGACCAAGACCCATCTGTTCAGTGAAGAATTCTACATGTTAAATGTATTTGATATAATGTGTGGCCATGTTTGCACGCCGGTTGAGCTTGAAGCTGTGTGTCAAGTCTACTCACACTGGCAACAGAATAACCGTGCATTATTCAATAGGAGCAATGAATATATATGTGGTGCTTGTATATTGGCAGTAGGACAATCTGTGATGGAAGATTGATGCATACACACACCTTCAACATACCGAGTTACGAAAATAACCAGTGAAAAAGGCTACAATTGGAGTGGTGTGTTCATTCACTCTCGCAACCAAATAAAAGCATTAAACATATACAAACATAACATTTACTGAACAAGGACCATTTTCATGCAGTTAATGTGTTTAGCAAAACTGAATGTTTTCATGTATTTATTAACTTTAACAACAACTATGATCTCTCGTTACTCTTGTTGTATGTAATCTCAAACATTGGAATTTGTATGTCACTTTTACCTACAGTATGCAAATGAACAATTTTCCATGTTCTCCCCGTGCTTGTGTAGGTTTCCTCTGGGTCCTCCGGTTTCCCCTACCACTAAAAACATGCTCAGTAGGTTAAATTCTCCAGCTCTAGTCCTGACCAAGCAGAGCATCAACATCTGGAGAAGGGTTCCCCGGCGCTGTTACTACGGCGACCACTGCTCCTGACGTACGCCTTCGTGGCATCAGGATGGGTCAAATGCAGAGGATGAATTGCCCTACGGGGATTAATAAAGTTTACCTTTACCTTTACAAAACACCGGCACAAAGTTTGAATATGGTATCCCAAACTACTAGAAAATGTTAAATAATACATGTTTGTCCTAACAGAGAGTTTGTAAAGGGAAAATGTTGTGAACACAACAAGCTGCCTTCAGTCCTCTCTTTTTCACTTCAGTCTGAAATTTGATATCTGACCTAAATATGTGACAGAAGCCAAAAATACATGCATGTGAACAGCATGTGAGTTTTGCAAGTGAGGATCTAGCTAGATTTCCCAGCTTTAGTCAACCGGAAATACTATGTACATATTATCTTAACCACGGCATAAGACAAAGTGAACATTGATCTATCTGCGCGTTTTATGATGAATTTAGTATTTAGCAGTGGAGGGGCTGGTGCTATGTGCACTGGGTGCAGCGCTGACTGCGCTGACTGCAACCCCCTCGACCCAGACATGGATTAAGGGATAGTATTTAGTAATTAAGTAAAAAAGAGGAACTAAAGTCTTGACTGGTGTACAGTCTGGAGTAATACAGTTGTCTGTGCACATATAACGAAAATATCATTTTTCCAGAGTAATCTTTTTTTTTACTTTATTGATCCCCGTAGGGCAATTCAATCCTCTGCATTTGACCCATCCTGATACCGCTAAGGCTTACGTCAGGAGCAGTGGTCGCCGTAGTAACAGCGCCGGGAACCCATGTCCAGATGTTGATGCTCGGCTTGGTCAGGACCGGAGCTGGAGAATTTTACCTAGTGAGCATGTTTTTAGTAGTAGGGGAAACCGGAGTACCCGGAGGAAACCTTCACAAGCTTCTTTCTGAGAAGCGAGAGTGCTATCCACTCAGCCACCGTGCCGCCCTAAAATAAAACGCAAATAATAGAAAGAAAATGAATCCACAAGTTTGAACATTTCAAATATGTTTTTAATTTCGACAAACATCTACAACAATCGTTGAATGAATGGCAATGATTAGAGGCAACGTGATGAAGCTGCTTCAACACAACAAGAAGACTACGGTAGAATTGTATATATGTAACAATATATAACAATATATATATATTGAGTATTTAAAATAGGACAGCCAACAGTGTCCTATTCATTTTCTAATAAATTAAATAAAACGTGCTACATGCAATCTGTTTAAAAATACAGAGAGTTAAAGAGATCAAAATAAATGAAAGGTTAACATATTTCATGACTATGTTATAAATATCACAAAAGACAACCTTCAAATATCAATACAAGAGTAATAAAGTCCATTTGTCATATTCCCATTTCATGACTACAATTTGTGCTCATTCATCTTACAACTATAGGCAATCAAACTATATACATTTGTAATCATTGCAAAAATGCCCATAATAGGGCTAAAGTGACAAAATAATTAATCTAATGTATTTATTATAGAATGCAGGGTAAGCTATGGAATAACCATTTTATGATTATTATATATGTACCTGTAAGGATAAGTTAAGTAAAGAATAATTACACTTAATATATTTTATTAATACCATGAACCTCTCTCTTGAGCACCTGAAAACTGTGAGGTATACACTTTACACTTAAACATGATGACGTGGATGTGGTCCTAGCTGAAGCCTGGGTTGCGAGCAGCGGTGAGGCTCCCGGCCGGGACACTCTTCCCTCTGAGGAGAGTGAGCGACAGCACGAAGAAGCAAGCGCTCATAACGCCCAGGATGACCACACCGGAGACGAGCGCAGTGGTCACAGGGTTCATTGGGAACGTGGAGGCCTCCTGCTGACCTGGTGAACACACAGCTCCACACTCAGATCACTGCATTCAAGATTTCATAATCAAGGGGAAGGAGAACTTGAGTGCAGATTTATCACACAATTTTTTAGTTGACCACTATTCAATTTGTGCACAACTCTTTGCAGCCCAAAATAATAATACGTTTTTTTTTTTGATTGTTTAAAAACTTTATTTATCTTTCTATAAACAATATGCATTCCTCATGTGCGATTGCTTTGTTTTCTGACTATTTGCAATCTCTTTAATCTTCACTCAAATGTATTATCACTCGATAATGTGGCTCTCTCCTCCAAATCTAATCATAATGTTGGGCTTGTGTCTAGTAACCCCAGTATCTGCATGTGCACACCAACCAGGAACACAAATCTCTGCAAACTCTTTCAACCATAGTTTCTTTCTCCTGTTTTTGGATAGATGCACAACTTTCAATGTCATACGGAGAGACTTCCTGCCCACTCCACTGACATTTGATAGCTTCGAACGATTCAGGCTCCGAACAGCAGGAGTCAAACTGCTCTGACATTCAAAATCAATGCCAGCAAGAAATGCATCTGACAAAACAGCAGAAACACCATTTTCTCAAATGATATTTAAGTCAAAGAAAACCAGAATAATTAAAACCAGAATAGACATAGGCACCTCCAGCGCAGACAACAAAAACCTCTGCACTTAGTCTTGCTTAAAAGAACAGTGTCTCTCTGCCACCTGATTGTGCTGAAATGCTTTAGCCGCCTTCCTTCACCAGCGTGAGAGCAACAATTTATGTGGAGCTTTCAATAGTCAATTTAAATTATTTTTGTCCTGCGGAAAATAACTGAATGAGATGCAATTATTGTGAGTAGGAGGGCCCATTAGGGAACAAAGCTGGGTAGAAGGTGGGATAAGAGTTTTACAAAGTCACTTCTTTGAACAAATCACACCATTTTATTCCACAGCTCCTCACAACAGCAGTAGAACGCTACATTGATTTAAGTGTGGTTTAAAAACTTTTTACCAGTCATTATTTCTTGATAACGGACCTCTCAAAACAATAATGACCGCTGCCCTTTGGCAATGCACTCTTCCCTTGTAATTCAGATGTAGATTACTCCGCAAGTAGTTCCGGCCACTCCAGAGCTAGCCACGCTCAATAAACACAAATACCAATCAATCAACACATTTAACTGTTAATGGGAGAATACATTATACATTTACATTCTTAACACACGTACACGGAAGTTTTCAGAAGTATCTGTTAAAGTTTTCATGACAAAAATACTGTTTTAATACGTGAAAAAGCAATTGCGAAAAACCCAAAAGTAGATTCTGGGACATTTTAGGAAATTTTGCAGAGGATCAAATTTTGGATTTAGGTTAAGTTTATGTTTGGGTCACTCACCGCTGATGTCCAGGATTCTTTGTTCAGTTTTCATACCGTTCGGGCGAGTTCTAGTTTGGGAGTTGCTGGCCGAACTGTTACTAGCCTAACTGTAACTAGCCTAACTGTTACTAGCCTAACTGTAACTAGCCTAACTGTTACTAGCCTAACTGTTACTAGCCGAACTATTACTAGCCTAACTGTCACTAGCCTAACTGTTACTTGCCTAACTGTTACTAGCCTAACTGTTACTAGCCTAACTGTTACTAGCCAAACTATTACTAGCCTAACTGTCACTAGCCTAACTGTTACTAGCCGAACTATTACTAGCCTAACTGTCACTAGCCGAACTATTACTAGCCTAACTGTCACTAGCCTAACTGTTACTAGCCGAACTATTACTAGCCTAACTGTCACTAGCCTAACTGTTACTAGCCTAACTGTTACTAGCCGAACTATTACTAGCCTAACTGTTACTAGCCTAACTGTTACTAGCCAAACTATTACTAGCCTAACTGTCACTAGCCGAACTGTTACTAGCCGAACTATTACTAGCCTAACTGTTACTAGCCTAACTGTCACTAGCCTAACTGTTACTAGCCGAACTATTACTAGCCTAACTGTAACTAGCCTAACTGTTACTAGCCGAACTGTTACTAGCCGAACTATTACTAGCCTAACTGTTACTAGCCTAACTGTTACTAGCCAAACTATTACTAGCCTAACTGTCACTAGCCGAACTGTTACTAGCCGAACTATTACTAGCCTAACTGTTACTAGCCTAACTGTTACTTGCCTAACTGTTACTAGCCTAACTGTTACTAGCCTAACTGTTACTAGCCAAACTATTACTAGCCGAACTATTACTAGCCTAACTGTTGCTAGCCGAACTATTACTAGCCTAACTGTCACTAGCCTAACTGTTACTAGCCGAACTATTACTAGCCTAACTGTCACTAGCCTAACTGTTACTAGCCGAACTGTTACTAGCCGAACTATTACTAGCCTAACTGTCACTAGCCTAACTGTTACTAGCCGAACTATTACTAGCCTAACTGTCACTAGCCTAACTGTTACTAGCCGAACTATTACTAGCCTAACTGTCACTAGCCTAACTGTTACTAGCCTAACTGTCACTAACCTAACTGTTACTAGCCTAACTGTTACTAGCCGAACTATTACTAGCCTAACTGTTACTAGCCTAACTGTTACTAGCCGAACTATTACTAGCCGAACTATTACTAGCCTAACTGTCACTAGCCTAACTGTTACTAGCCGAACTGTCACTAACCTAACTGTTACTAGCCGAACTATTACTAGCCGAACTATTACTAGCCTAACTGTTACTAGCCTAACTGTTACTAGCATAGCCACGGTAAAGCCTTTGGGAACTATTTTATTTTCTGTCATTAAATAAACCTTTCGGCATTCCTAAGAGTGGACTTAAGTTTATGTTGTGTGTTCTGTTGGTACAAAGCCGTATAATAAGCGGGATAATGTATATCACACAGGTCATTATCGGTCCGCTTCGCCCTGTCGATACTTATTTTCCGATAATGACCTGCGTACAATGCATTATCTCTTACATATCATTAAGTGGTAGATGGTAATGTTATATATTGAGAAGTCTTACCCCACTGCGAGTTGTTCGTCGGTGTTTCGTCTGCAAAACAGCAGAAAGTGCAAGTTCAGAATCGTTATTCAGATAGTACGGGGGTCAGTGGCGTGCCGGCTAATTTCTGAATCATAGTCATAAGTCAGGGCCGTGGCTTCGGGCGCTTTTGAGACAAACTAGGGCGACCCAGAGATCATTTTCTCCTATAGAATGCTTGTATCACATCTCAGGTCGGTTAAAAGCAGTGATGGGTTGGAATTAGGACAGGATTTTATATATCTGTACAGTAGCATCTTAGTAGCGCAATGTGAGGCTGATTTTTTTTTCACTTCTTCATAAGCAACTGTTCCTGGCAATACATTGTTTTCAAACATCATATAAACAGGTACACAATAAAAACATTATGTACAAATGGGAAGAAATAGTCATTCGCACAACTAAATAAAAGTGTTTTCAACCTGGATTTGAACACTGACAGAGTAGAAACCTGGATACATTTGGATACATACCCCCATTATATCGTCCTGGTCCATTTGCAGAAAAGTAGCCCGAAAGCATAATGTTTCCACCCCCATGCTTCAACGTAAGTATAGGGCATTCTTTGGCACTCTTTCTCATCCATAACAATTTGAGTTTTCACTAAAAAGTTCAATTTTGGTTTCTTTTGACCATGGGACAACATTCCAATCCTGCTCTTTATTTCCGAAGCTAAAGGAATACGTACATATTTCCAGCTCTATAGTGTGGCACTTATATGTTGTATATTACAGAAGAGCCCAATTCTGCATGAGTGGTCACGTAAAAACTATCGCAAATGTATAATTCAAGCCTGAAAGCAGTATAAATTCCCAACATTTATAGCAAATCCTAGCTACAAGCAAAGATGTTTTTACTTTGGTACCGCGCTGCACCTTAAGTACTGTAGTTCAGAGTGAGTGAAAAAGACATCTCGATCTCGACATGGTTAGAGCCGGGAAAATAGACTGCAAGGAGGAGTGGGAGATAGAGAATTGTTATCAAACCCTACCACTCCGCGTGATGATAGGCCCGGCAGTCAAGACGGCATTTCCAGATGCTCCGTTTGATTCCTTCTCCTCCGAGACATCCCGTTTTTTTCTCATGCCACAGATCTGCAACAAATGGTGAAAGCAGATATGATTAGCGTTGGGATATCCTTTCAATGTTCCTTTTTTTGTGACAAGGTTTTGTGTAATTTGTCATTTTAAGCCTGGAAAATACACTCACATACATCTGAAATCTGATATGGTTGCATATTGTTAGGTTTGATTCAACAGGGTGATGCAAATCTATGGATACATGTTTTATGCTTTATAGCTGCTTCATGGATGATTCATGTGTAAAAAAACGTATGATGAAAATTATTGCAAGAACAACTCAGCATCTTGGATTGGTGGATCATCTGGACCATGTTGCTCAGTAGAACTGCACCATTCCTCTCAACAAAATGTGTGTGGTCACAATTGGCTAAATGCTAACACAGCAATGTTTTATGTGTCAAGTTTTTTTTTGAATCTTTAGTTTGGATGTAAGATTAAGAGATCCTTCATTCATCCCACGGTGGAAAAAATTCAGTTGGCCAGAAACATTATTTTCACATTGGAACAGCCACATTGTATAATAAGTAATGTTTTTGTATATAGCGCATTTCACAGACCAAGGTCACCCAAAGCACTTTACAATGTTCAGAGTCAGATATTGTTCCAATCATTCCACACACGGTGATGACAGAAGCGAGTCCAGAACACACTGGACCATCAGCTCCAACACCATCCATTCACTCTCTCATTCACATTCAGACCTATTGTGCATGTTTTTAGTGGTAGGGGAAACCGGAGCACCCAGAGGAAACCTACGCAGACACAGGGAGAACATGCAAACTCCACTCAGAAAGGCCCTGTTCCGACCGGGATTCGAACCCAGGACCTTCTTGCTGAGAAGCGAGAGTGCTAACCACTCAGCCACCGTGCTGAGTGGCTATGATTTACGTAAACAATATACTATGTTGCAAAACTCAAGTCTGGCTCTAAAAATGCAGTCTGAACAAGTAATTCATTTCTTAAGTGCTTTATTAATTTACTCCATGGTTGTAAACTCCAACTACTACTCATAATAACAATGCGTCAGTTTTATATAGCGCTTTTTTGACACGATTCACATGGCACTATTCTTTCATACACGGTGGTGATAACACACTACTATAGCTGATGCTTCCCTGGGGCACACAGACAGAAGCGAGGCAACTGGTTTTCCACACGCCATTTACCATTTACATACACACCAGACTCCAGGCAATCTGGTGCCTTTCCCGACGACACATCAACAGTTTGGCACTGTGGCACTTGGTGTTCCCAAAACTCTTCCTTCACAATTCTAACCCTGCCCTGTTTAGCTGGATAGATTTGACAGTATTTGGCTTTCACATGCAGGTGGCGGCAGATGTACAGTCACAGCTGGGCCAAACTGACAGAAACAAGGCTAACAACCTGTGGCATAGAAAAAGCCATCAACTTAAGCAAGTGTCTTGCTTAAGGACACAGCAACTATTCGGTACTTTACAGCCACCCGATTGCGGCACACAGCACTAACCAGGCTCTCCTCTGTTAAGTTTCTGAGGTCTGACCGAATTGTTTCTACTTGAATAACAATAGTAGTGAGAACTCATTTTATGACAAATGTGGGGACTGTGTATCAGGTAATTGCTTCATTAGAAGAGAAGATTCATGTTCTGCACTTGGGAGCCGTGGACACTGTGGCTGTGGGGGTCTGGCTCTTGCTCAAATCTCCAAAGAGCTTGGTTATTTTTATTCTGAATAAAACAGACCTGACCTTTGGACCTGAAGGTCGTGGGTTTGAGCCCCCCATGAGAACTACTCCCCTTACTGTCACTGATGTCCGTTGTTGTTGTGTCCTTGGTTAATCCCACTATGCCTAATGCCCCTGCTGAAAGATCAAGGCTATGCCATCACCGTCAGAGCCGCCATCTTCCTGTTGACTCACCACCTGCAGGAGAATCAGTGAGGGGCCAGTGCCATGTAAAAAGTGCTCTGATTGCCACTCCCTCGACCCAGAAATGTATTAAGGGGTTACAATTGAGGGATGGGACTTTTTAAAAATATTTAAGATTCCATCAGAATGTTAGTCAGAAATATCACAATTAGATATTTTTTCAAAACCTTGCAGCCCGATGGTGTAGTCCTGTCGTATTATAGAAGTACTTAAATGCTGTAGTACTATAATGGAATGGGATGGAACATGTGGCCTCAGTATAAATGGCGGTAATTGACAACAGATTAATCTTCCTTGACTTTTTACTTTCATGCACGAATGCTTTATTCAGAACACAGAAAAGAGTATGGTAATGAATATGTATCACTTAGAGTCATTATTAAATGTCTTGTTGACAAATGCGCTCCGCTTTTAGGCAAAGCTTAGTGTGCTTGGAAAATGGGGAGGTAATGTTGCATAAAACAGAGACTTACATTGAGAGGAGAGGCTGGTATAGGGTTGGCTCCCATTTACAAGGAAGAAAAAAGTGCCTTCGATAGTATATTGTGTGGATTGATCTCAAAACAACTCCATATCTGTTTTGGATGAGGCAACAATGTTGTAACACGGTTATTTTGTCTCAGTTAATGCCTCATAACCTGCTTCAGTCTTACTGAAAACGTGAGACATGATTCTACTCTGACATTGTTCAAATCCAGATTAAAACAATTTGGTTTCTGTCGTATCTTGTTTTATTAGCACTTTGGGCTACCTTGTGGCTGATCTGTGCATTACAAATTAACTTGCCTTCCCTTCCATCTCCTCATTTTGGCCCTCATTTATGAAACTTACGTACGGCCAAAATCAGGGTGTAAATGAGGCTACGCAAAAAATTTAAGCTTTTTGCCATTTATCAATCTGGACGTGGGCGAATGGTACGCACAAAATATACGCCAAGTCTGGAGGTGTGTTTACATTTTACACCCATCTCAAACTTCATCACAACACGCAAAAACACACATGAACACATACTGTACATATACGCATCCTTTCTTTCTCACAGAGATTGCTCCATTGCATTTACAAGAAGATGCATCAGATGCTTCACCCGAATTATGAGAGCCACCTTTGAGGCCAAGATATTGATATTCATTCATTATTTATTTATTTATTTTCTTCTAAAGTTGAAGAGGGATGAGTGCTGCAGTGGGTCTAGGCACTAGGGAAATAAAGCGTATATATAATATAGCGTGCATTTTTTTTTAAACAAACATGAATAAACTCAGGAGTGCGTGGCACAGGCCTTTTGAGGCTTCCAAACAGTGGCCGACTTCCATGATGACCTGTCGTAAAAACAGGCGGTTTCTGAATCTTTATAGGCGTGACTTTCATAAATAGGCTAGTTTTCAGCGCGGATCTCACACGTTCATAAAGCCCACGTTGGATCTTGCATATTTGGAATCTACACCAAAAATATACTGTACACCCTTTTCTGCGCACGTTTCATAAATGAGGGCCAATAAATGTATGTACGTGACTAATACTTCCGGGGTTTACCGGCATGAGCATCGGGCAGTCGTCCGATCGGCACAGCTTGGTGACGCAGTGCAAGAAGACGGTAGACATCTTCTGGTTCTTGTGCTTTACAAATCGGAACACTTCAAAAGAAAACCGCCCCATCTGGCTCTTCCCGTTCTCCAGGATTGCCGTCTGAGGGTCCTTGTCGCAGCTGGAACGCACACAAAACAAAAACACGCTGCTATTTGGGAAAGGAAACGAGCCGATTTGTTACGGCCTGCGAATTACCTGACGAAGAGGTCGTAGCGCAGTTCATCACTGGGATTTCCAGAGGGGGTGGTGTAGCAGTAGTCCATCAGAACGTTCCATCTGGTTCACATAAAAAGCTTTTATATTTGGGAAGAGAAGGGGGGTTATTTTTATACATCAACAGTTCAAGTTAACTCTAGGCACCACGGTTGACCTGTGTCAGGCGGTGTAAAAATGTGTTCAAACCCCCTGCCACGAGTTGGAAGACACGTCAGACTACCTCCCAGACTCAGAATTACATCAAGTAGCATCCCTATGATTTCAGGGACAGTAGGTGATGAAGGAACCATTGTCTAACAGGACTGGGTAGGTTGGACAAGAGAAATACAGTAGCTTTGGCAGGACAGTTGCAGTGAGACTCGGCCGGTATATTCGAGTCTGGTCATGTTGCTCACTATTTCCCTGACCACTTAGTAGGGTAAATTGTGTGTTTGTGTGCTTGTGATATGTGTATGTCTGTCAGTATAGATAGATGGATAGAAATACATAGACATTGATATTGAAGCATGTGCAGCTAGCTAAGAAGCATGGTAGCTATATTTTGCGTGCTCTGTGTGTGCTGTCCTGTGTGCGGTGCAACATTTAACCTTAACCCTATGTGGGAATGATCTGTAAAAAATACTCCTGTTTTTCTGCAAGAAGATTTTAAGAAAAACCTGACGCCTAAAGGGATAGAGATACTCTTTGCTCAATTTGAATTTCAGTCAGCAGAGCAAATGATGGGGGAGACGTGTAGGGTCAGAGAGCGCTTGGGCGTGTGCCTTGTCCAAATGTGCGTTTGTGTGTGTGTGTGTGTGTGTGAGTGTTGTACAGTAAATGAGAGGGATTGGAACTAAAGCCATGTTTCTACCAGTCCTACTTGGCCCTACTCTACTCGGCTCTGGTACCGTATTCTAGCAACCTATCCACAACAAGCCAGTATCCGGGGGAATTCCTTGATAACCATGGCCTCCAGCAGCACTCTGGCCAATCACTGTCAGTTAGAACACACACAGATCAGCCGCGTAGTAGTTTTTTTAAATTATTATTATTTTTTTATTAATGCATTCCTTTTTTTATCTTGGCTGCAACTTGAGCTAAAGCAAATTCCTAGGTTGTGACTTCCTGTTAACAATGCTGATTCTGATATCACAGTGGTAGTACAATGACATTCTTTCCACCCGGTGCTCCGGTTTCCCTTACCACTAAAACATGTACAATAGTCCCCCGTAACACCCTCACCAAGTCCCCATGTCTGGGGCCAGGACCCCCATGAAAAATATGTTCCGCAATCTCAGTGGAACTTTCCTGGTTAAATAACGGTCTATTAAAAAAAAGGGTGGAGCAACATGTTTGTATTGGTTATAGCCAGGAAAGATCTAAAAACAACTCCAGGTCTGTTTTTGATGAGGGAACAAGGTCGTAACATGGAGAAAAGCACAAAACTAGGGATTTGCAGAATATATTTCATACGTTACCTACAAAACATGTCAATAATGTGCTGGAAATTCCATAAGTCACAAAAATAGAATTATAATGCTTTTATGATCCTTTCTGTGAAGCGCTCTGTGAACATTTCAGAAGCTAATTATGTAAAAATCATTGTAGCAGTTTGACAGCTAAAGTTAAGCTTTTACTGCCATATGTTCACACACAAAAACAACAAAGTTTGGAAGTTAGTGGTGCAGCTGTTTGACTAATTAGGCGTTAGTGCACACTTTCATTTGTTATTTCTTCAAACACATGGCTGTTTTAATTCTGTGTACGAATGTACGCAGCTGTGGTTTGTTCTGCAATCTCCTTATGTGATGTACTTCAATCAATCAGATGTATTTGTAAAGCACATACAGTGTCACCCAAACCCAAACACCCTAAATCAATACATTTCAATTAAAAACATACAATAGAATATATAAACTGTGTGAATACATATGGTATTGCTAAATCTGTGAAAAATGTCATACGCACATGTAAGTTTGCAACGTTCACCTGTCCTTTCTTTCAAGCTCAGAAAGAATTTTAGATATATCTGAAATGCTGACTCCCTGCTTTTAGTTCTGACTTTGGGAACTAGTAGGTGTTCATTTCCTGTATTCTGTTCACACACAAAAATATTCTGCTCATGATAAAGATATTGCATTAATGGTATTATGATATATTTTGACTGAATTGAAAATGAATGATGCGAAATAGTTCACATGTTTACTATAATCCATGTACAGTAAGTTTGGCAGATTGTATGACCACAGGAGTGGACTTCAGTCTGGCCTGGTCTCCTGGTCCTGGCCCTGGTCCTGCCTCTGTTCTTGAAGGACTGTTTGGAAACTCAAATAATGTGACTTTTTCTGTATGTTTCTGAGAGAGTGCACACTTTTCTCTTTCGTCATGTTACTGTAGCATAGTTTGTCAGTTCGGTGGCATGTTCGGTACACAGCCCAAAGCCTTGAAGCTGGTGAATAAAAAGGATGGCACCCCTGCGGATAGATATCAGATAAAAGGGAAAAAGTAAAAAGATGAATTTGAGCTGTCTCATTGATGCTGATACAATACCGTCTGTCTAGATTGGTGGCTTTGACGGCGGCAAACACCCTGGTCTTCAGCGTCAGCCCTGCCATGGGGATCGCCAGCTGCTGGACGTACGATGAATCCTGGAAGCACAAAGCACAAAATTCACCAAGCTATCGCCCAATTTTCAGGAGAATTTATCATAGTCATGTGGGACCCATAGATCATTCACATTAGGATCAACTTCACTACAATCTGCCTTGTGGCATGCATCAGGGGTCGATTGAGAATAATCTTCTTCCAATTATTATGCCGCTTTTCCACAGTAACGGTACGGTACGGCACGGCACGGTACTTTTGCATTTCCACCAGGGTTGGGGCCAAGTTTTGGGTACCTTTTTCGCACCACCTCGACACCTTGGTAAAAACCGTATGCCTAATCTCGCATTATCTGCTGTATTCACGTGTTGCCATTCTGCCATTCACACAGTTGTCGTGTGTATAATTATTTGTTTGAGGAGTGAGGAGATTACCAACGAGCAATGAGTGACCGGAGTACTTAACATTCTCCTCATCTAGATCTGGTCTCAAACGTACTTTGGACTTTGTAAACTGGTGGTTTTGCACTTTACTGTTGTTTTTAATAAATCTGTGATTGTATCAAGACTTTGTTTCATTCATTTGTCTGTACACGTGCAGAAAAGGGGTTCAAAAGAAAAAGTTACAATTTCCTACCATCTACTTATGTACTTTTCCCACATACATTATGTTTGTCAGTAAATCCGTATAACTTTGGTAAATTTATGAACAAGGATGGAGATATTTGGTAAATACAAAAAGGTTTTATTTTTGGTCAAAATAAAAAAAAAATCCTCTGCAACCACTGCTACACAGCTGCTGTTGCTACAGGTGTCACATGGTCTCTCCTTGGTTTTCACACAGATTGTACAGAGCAGGTCAGCACCATTGACTTCACATGTTCAGTGTCCGAGTCATTACTTTAACACTGCCCAAAGCATTTTCAACAACCACTCGCGCAGTGCTGAATTTTTTATTAAATACTTGCTGTTCGTCTGTCACGCGGTGTCCCGAAAAGGTTTTAGGAGCCAGTTCTGCAGGGGGTAAGAGGAGCCCCCTAGAGGTAATAACCAGCTATGATACTATATTATAATAAATCACCAATGTTACTAGTTACGCGTTGCACGTAAATGACGTGGTCTGACAACGCTGAGGAGATACTATAGGTACTACTTTTGATGGAAAAGCACCCAAGCTCGGCCGTGCCGTACTGTGCCGCACCGTACCGCACCGTTACTGCGGAAAAGCGGCATTAGGGGATTATAGATCATTTTAAGAGGTTCTAAGGATTGGGACATTTGCCTTGTCTCAAACATGGATCATGGCATAGGATTATTGCTGCAGTTACTTCTAAAAGGATGAAGATGATATTAAGCTTCCACTGTAATTGAATGCACTCAGCTCATCATGCAGTTGACACGTTTTGAGTAGATGCAGGTCTCAAGGTGAACTTACATTGTACAGGAGAAGGTTGAGCGTGCTGACAAATGTACCATTGCTTTCCTTCACAGAAATGGCAGCAGCAGACCTTTTAGAGAAAGAAAAAGATGTTTCTATAACTGCACACACACACACAGAGTGGGCCAGGTGGCATTTGATAAACATATACCTTTTTCATATTAATAAATTATACAGAAATGTCATAAAACTACTAAACACTGTACAAAAACACCAGGAGGGAAAGCCAAAGTTTATTAGGTGGCAGCGAACGCAAATTTATCTTCCCTCTTGTTTGTCAAAACAGCAGTCCTCATTCAGGACTAGTGGGTAAAGATCACTTCTTCCCTTCAAGTTGAATTTCTGTTGCTCCACATACGTTATTGGCATATACGTACATACAGTACCTGAGGATGCATCCATCCATCCATCCATAACCCTAACCCTAACCCTGATGACATATGCACTGATATAGGCTGATGTGAGCCAGGCTACAAAAACACAGGAATTTCAATGAAAATTGAGTGACACAGAATGACACCAGAAGGACCCCTGCGGGCGAGCCTTTCTGTGAGACTTTCTGTGAGACTTTCTGCTTCAAAAAACGTGTGCTAGGGCATGTGATGCTCTCCAACAAGGTTTAGCCTTTTGAAATCATTACTATTATTATCATTATTATTATTATTATTATTGTTATTATTATTATACCATGATTCAGGGACTTCAGAATACTTGAAAGAAGGAAGTTTTCTTTGACCTTTTAATTTTGACACATTTGTGTTTTCCCGTAGTGAAAAGTAAACCTTTCCCGCCGTTGTCCCTCCCGGGTCGACACAAACCTTTTCACATAAGAAAAATATTGGGCTGTAAATTGAAAGTTTTTTTCTGTAGGTGTTTCAATATGGCCAAATATGACTATTCTGTTTATCATCTTAAACTACTTTTTTTCATCTATCCATCCATCCACTTTTAACCCCTTAATCCATTCCAGGGTCAAGGGGTTGGCAATAAGAGCCGCCACCCAATTCACATAGCACTGGCCCCTCACGAGGGAGTAATTCAATTTAATTAGTCCACAGGACTAATTAAATTACTGCTTTAGTTGGATTATCCTGCTTTTGTTACTGCAGGTCGTTTCAATATCATTGTTTATTGCATTTGATTTATTCAATATATTGTCCATCAAGATAAGTTATTGAGACAGGCATCCACTTACTCTCTGTATCTATGTCTGCTTACTTCATTATTTAATGTTTAACAAAAAAAATACCATCTTGAGTAGAAAATATATGCGAAACAACGATCAAGAGTAAAAAATGCTTTGTGTCTGAAACTCCCTATTCCACCAGAGGAAACAGTGTGATTTATTTTGGGTTGATTTAAATTTAAAAGTACCAGATGAAACCACAGCTCTGTGATTGGACAGAAGGTACAGTCATTTCAGCTGAAAAACTGCCAAAAATGATTCATGGCCAATACTTGCTCTGAGTGTGATATCAGAGTCACATCATACTGTTGTGGGATTGAGACAGGAGCTTTTTGACAGAAAGGGCAGAACTACATGTTTATGTCACAGGGAATAAAGCTGTAATATGGTTGATATTTCCGTATACGTGTCCTTTAGAAGAGTAAATTGAAATTGAGTAAAAAGCTCTTGAAACTAACACGCACAAAAACCCTGCTGTTTTGCATGTGTCTTTTATGCCCTATGCTGCTCATATGAATTGCCCCTGGCGTGATAAATAACATAGTCTGAATCTGAAGCTGAACAGCTACAATAAGCCTGCTGTTACATTGTCAGAACGTTTTGTCAGCATCTCACACACAGAATCATCCTTCCCTCTTTTCTGCCGCAGTCTTGTTGCCCCTTATCTTCCAGAAGTAATAGGCTATATCCCCAAGTTCCTCCACAGTGCTATCTGTTTGCTGCAGTCGGAAGCAGAGGCTATGGAGAGACTCACGAGGCGAGCTGGGTGTTGTTGACCAGGTACTCCAGAGGGTAGCTGCAGCTGAACTTGTACTGCAGCCCAGGCAGGTAGCTGATGACCGTGGAGGGGTCTGGTGTGTCGATGTACCCTGCCACGCTCCCGATCTGGACCAGAGATTGGTTCCCATGGCTGTTCGGGCTGTGTGCTGTGGAGACCTGCACGAGATGATGGGTCGCAACTTTAATAAAAATGGCTTATTTAGAATTTATCACTACATGTATCCACAATACTAAAGAGACTACCATCAACATTATGGACCAGTGCTGTGGATAGGCTGGACAATAACAAGTGTGTTCCTTGTACTTAACTAGTTGTGGTTTGTATAGTTTCATTTTCATTGTCCTGGGTGTGTATGTGTGTATGTTCTGTTGTTTATTGTTTGAAATAAAACAAATTAAATACAAATGTTAACATGAAGGCCCATCGAAATCAAACAAAAACCATGAAGGCAGATTACCATTGCATTTGGTTGTTCTTCCCCTACAATTGTGCCATAAAACATGAAACTGCCACGAGGATCTCTATATTGTGGTTTAAAGTTAGGCAACCCAAGTGTCTTTCCCAAGCACACAACAATACTCTTGGTAGAGCATTGGCTTTTGAGCCTGAACGTCGTGGGTTCGAGCCCACCACGAGACCTACTTCACGACTCCCGCTGATGTCTCCTGCCGTTGTGTCCTTGGGCAAGACACCACTTTGCCTGAAGACCCCGCTGAAAGATCAAGGCAGCTCAAACAAGAGCAGCCATCCTCCTGTGGACTCACCACCTGCAGGAGGATCAGTGTGGGGCTGATCCTCACCTGATAACCCCCCCCCACCCAATGGAAATGGGGAAGAAAATGGATGGATGAATGGATTATTATTTGTATTGATTATTTTTCAAAAGTGATTCCTTTTTAAATAAAGTGATTGACTTCTGTGGTGTTAGCCGTGTGAATCTTGTGGAAGTTCATCTGCCGCTTTGTCACACTTATGACCTTTTGTTTTCCAAAGTAACTGGAGTCACAGTAGCTTTATCAAATCAGAGGTTGATCCGTCTCTTTTTTTTCTTTTTAATTTTTGCCAAAAATATATTCTTCAATCTTTTCTTTTGATTTAAAAAAAAAAAAAAAAAAATCTATGATAGCCATCTTAGTTTTTGAGTTATAATCTTTTAAAGTCAAGATACTATAATTGACTTTTTTCTGTGAACACACCAAGCTCAACACTTCGCCAAGTCAAGTTTGCGGTCAAAGTGCAGAGAGGTTCCACTTCGAGAATGCCCTGAAGGTGTCTGGGAAACACCTGATGATTCAAGGGTGCTCTAATGATATTGCATCTTTATGATCACCTTGTTACCAGGGCAGTAGGTCCCAGAGTTCAGGAAGAAGGCTCCCTTCAGCCCCCCCTGGGTGGGACCACTCCTGTTAACGGAAGTTGAATTTACAGATTTATTTCGTGACCTGCTGTGAGCACTTTTGTGGAAGGCACTGTCCCTCACAGTCCAGCCAAACTGTTCTTGCCCAGACACGTTTCAGGAAGTGATTTAGGCACCAACTACTCTGATCATGCACATTCGGCGGTTACACAATTATGGGCCGTTAAATTGAGTTTGGTTCTTAGTAATAAAGGATCATTAATTTGAGTGACTTATATTAAGGGAGGAGGCCCCGCGGAAGACCTAGGACACGCTGGAGGGACTATGTCTCTCAGCTGGCCTGGGAACACCTTGGGGTCCCCCCGGACGAGCTGGAGGAAGTGTGTGTGGATAGGGAAGTCTGGGCATCTCTGCTTAGACTGCTGCCCCCGCGACCCGGCAACGGATAAAGCGGAAGAAAATGGATGGATGGATGGACTTATATTGAGCAACTAACCTGGACAGTATGAGAAAAAGTAGGATTTGCTTCATTTTATTCTCTAAAGCCTAGCGTATATCTACAGAGTAACTGGAGACAACTAGTTGCAAGGCGGATTATGGCAACTGAGAGTAGATGATGGAGACGATCAGCTGCCGAAATCGGTCGATGTGAGCGCTCTTACAACTGGAGATAAACAGTCGATCTCTGGATTCAGTCAGTTGCCCGTGTTCTACTTTTCGGCGACTAGTTGTCCTCAGATCCGGAGATATCACCCGATGTGCGCGCTCCGACAACATGTGTGTATTGTGTGTATTGCGCCCTCTACAGTTTATGTCAGAAAACACACTGTAGTTGAGGCCAGCTGCTGTCGATGAACGCGCTGTTATTCCTGAGACTGGTCTGCTACTGGGAGTTGCCCGTTTTCACCACATTGTCCATGTGTGCGGGACAGCAACTCACATGCGACGGGTATAATCAGTTGCCAGTCCGATGTACGCTAGGCAAAAGAGCACAGAGCAATCCACAAGTTTTAGCTCTGAAACCCCCCCTCGCCTTTTGTGAGAGTGGACAAACCACAGAGATAAATGAATAGAATATTGCTGCAAGAGCCAATTACACATCAGGGATTCTCGGCCTACCTTAGTCTACCGCACATAAAACACACACCATGTAAAAGATGCACTTTAAATTGCACTATAGATAGAAGCACTCATGTCCCCATCTCCCCGCAGCAAGAGGCCCACCATTATCGAACTGTGGCCACACCGGACTGACCGCGATAGCATCAGCCGTTCCTCCAGCCCACTAATCCTGAACTCCATCAGCCTTATCTAAAGCACACCTCCGGGAACGTCCTGCAGCATGTGGTACGACACGGCAGAGGCTCTAAACTGCTTTTAAAGTCCCACCACAGCCGGATAACAAGCTGCGGCCTGGATTCCCATGCTGGATACACGGAACTTGTCAACATCAGAGGCTGGGCACAGTGGAGGAGACAGGCACGGGTGAAAAAAGCCCTCATTTGATCCTCTTTGTAGTCAGATTTCTGCTCTGTACGGAAAAGCGCACTGGAGTTTGCCTTTTCAGCTCCTACTTGAACATCAACTATCATGCAAGTTTAATGGGAAGTGGAGCTGGCCTTATATGGGCGTTTGAGATGTTAAAATGTGTGGAGTATGATGCTAGAATAATAATTCACTCTGGTAAAAATGTTTAAATTGTGTCGTTCAGTTAAATACCCTGTGTTTTTTTTGTTTTTTTGTAGTAGTTTTGTAGCAATTCACTTTTTGATTACATTCAGACATTTTACATGTTTTTAGAGGTACGGGAAACCGGAGCACCCTGATGAAACGTACACAGACATGGGAGGAACATGAAAACTCCACACTGAAAAGCATGGAGATGGAATCGAACCCATGACCTTCTTATTGTGAAGTACAAGCACTTTCCACAGCGCCATAGTGCCATAAAAGTAAATCTTAAGCTGTGATCGAAATCAAAGAAATCCTAGATGTCAATATTAGTGATGGAACTAAATTGTTATGAGAGTTGTTGAGTTAAAGTCAACACTTCTTGTCATAAGATATTCATCACACATGATTTTTTAATTCAAGTTTTGCCATTTTTAAAACAACAGATAACACATGTTCCCTACACAACCAACCTAACAATAATAACATGATACAATCTGACCCAAAAGATGAATATGCATTGGGTGTACAGTATCTTTAATGTTTTGCTTTTGTGCAGCGAGAGAAAAAGCAGGACTGGCCTTGTTTTGCTTCTGTGACAGGTGCTAGGCTTACACGTACTAAATCATTTGACTATTTTTGCTGAGAACCCGTCACTTACCAGGTGTTTTAGTAACAAAATATGCAAAGGTTCACAAAAATTAGGTCCTAATTTTGTCAGAATGAGCACAAACAGGTTTTGTTTTTTTGCTGGCTTCTACCGATAGTTTATTTTTTATTTTTTTTGAAAGATGTGCTGGGAAACGGCTGCAAGTCCTAAGTAGCTCTGGAACGGTTATGTTTTGTGCTTTACAATTTTCACATTTTTTTTGCTGTTTTCTACCTGAGATGTTGCTGCAGTACAGTGTGCATGGTTTTGCACCGGTCCAGACCAGAGCAGAGAGGATTCATGGTCCGAATCAAGTTGATCAGCCGAAAATCCACTGGAGGAATGCTAACTGTCATAAAAATGCTAATGAAGCATTTAGCATTTTACTTTGGACCAGAGCAGAGAAAAAGGTCCAAACCAAGTGGCTACTCCACCTTCTGACCCGTCCTGCTCCACCCAGAGACTACTCCAGAAAACCATGTTCCCTTTTCAAATCATCTGTTAGTGCTTTTTAAGATGTTTTTCTCTGTAATTTAGATTTGTATAAAACGATTGGCGTTAACTTGGACTAGTGGGTCAGAGACTTATGTGCATCTCTGATAATGCAATCCGCAGACTATTGAGAACCCTGAGATGGAAACTTCTAGTCATTGAAAAGACAAAAATAATAGAATAAATGGCAATATGTAAATAAAAATACATTATAAAACAAGCCTTGATGAATGTTTGAGTTTTAAAAAAGAGAGGAAAAAATAGGACTGGACAAAAAAAATTGACTGCTACTATGTGATCTGTGTCGCCATGGGAGCGTACAAATATGTCGGGGTACGTGTTGTCATTACCGTGAGCGCGTTGCCGCAGGACTCCAGCGTGGCCAGGCTGATGCTGAAGACCACCAGCGTCGGGAAAGTGTTGTTGTTGATGAAGCCGCGACAGTGTGCGTCTCCATGGCGACCGTTGAGCGCCAGGTCGGTGTCCGTGTAACCGGAGAAGAGCACGGGGCAGAAGTTAATCTTGAGGGTGATGGTCTGGACGCCGCAGTACACACTGATGTCCCTCTCCACTGAGAAATAACACCGTAAATGTGTTTTTATGTCTGTGTACGATGTGTGAGTGGGTGAAGGAGGCGGCCAGGAGGTGATCTCAAAGCTCTAAACCAGGGGTGTCAAACTTATTTTAGTTGAGGGCTGGTCAGGGGCCAAAAGAAGAAGTGGGTTTCATTTATTATACTTTTAAATTATATGAAGGTATCTAAATAAATGACTTCACATGACCGGATCTGGCCCCCGGGCCTTGACTTTGACCCTTGAGATTATTTTAAATTATTATATTAAATAGCATTAATGATAATAGGCGACAATGGCATGTTATCCATTACTAAGAAAATAACCATAACATTTAATTCCATAAGAAATGTTAAGCCAACATGTCATTCACATTTATTATTATTATGTTATGTTTTTTACGAGTTTTCAATTACATTTATTCTCAGGAGGGTTTCACAATTTTCAGATTGGAAAGCCCTCTCCACTTTTTGAACAAAACTCTCTGGTCTTATTTGACGAGCACAAATCACCAGAATGATTGACAGTTGGGAGGACCAATAGTCTGATGATCCACCCGGAAGTAGAAAATCTTCCCATTAACCTTCAATATTTGGTCCAGCTTTGGTTCAGTCCACAAACTGAACTAATTCTAATCAGAAAAGAATATCCAGTCTAACTAATGTGAAACAAGTCATTTATTTAGATTTATTTAGAAGTTTGACACCCCTGCTCTATGTGTGATGTGATATGACTTTTAGGGTCCGTAACTTTTAAACCACAAAATATAAAATTTATCAAATGCATCCAACAAGTTCCTTGCTGTAAAACCGTTTAGTTCACATTTATTTTCTGGCCTCTGTCACGTCTTTAGATCAGCTTTTTCAGACAAAATGAAAAAGAGAAGACCACCCACTCCCTCAGCCGATCAGCTCTTTCAGCCCAAAACCTAAAATAGTGGCTCACAGGGCTCCTTTTATCAAGTATACAAAAAAAAACGTTGTCCTCAACAAATTCACACGTTTTTTGTTTGTTTGTGAGGAGAAAAAGATAGGTACCACAGCTTTAAAGTAGCAGTAGGTAATATTTTCATGTCAAGTCATCATTAAATGGCTCCAATATTTCAAAAGGCGTTATTAAATCCTGCTCTTTTCGAATACATCTTTAACTGATAACAGTATTCAGAGATATTGTAAACTCAAAATTAGTTTTACAACCCGTAAAAGTTGTTATCATTTCGATGTCCCACCCTCCGCCGTTTCACAAATCAGGAAGTCCTAGATCCGGGTTGCCAGAACTCCCCGCGGCTAATCTGACTGGTAAAATAACATGTGGCCGCAGAGAACTAAAAAAGGTCTTGTTATGATTCTCAACAAAACCAAGACTAAAAGGAGGATTTATATCGGGACGCCTTTGACAAAATGAGACAATTGAAGGCGGATAAAAACTTTCCGTGTGATACAAAACTTGCTGCGTTGAGTGCGTTCTTCATACACGGTTGAATTAGGCGCCCGGAGTCTACCACCTGTCATGTGATACGGTGGTTTAATGGTTCAATCGTAGTGCTGATTCTCCAGAGGCCCGGGTTTGAGTTTGTGCGAGATGTGTTTTGGATTAAACTATTTAATATTATAATCTATGACAGATTGCTCAAAAACGGTAAAAGGTAAAAACAAGCCTTTATTTGCAGATTAAAACTAAATTTTTAATAAGAATCATTTGAGAGCACATGTACCACAATTGGAATAATGTTTGACTTATACATTTATGTCTGAAAAAATAGGGAATTAGAAAAAGCAGTCATTTAAAACATTAATTCAACATTAGCACGGGCTACCATGGCAATGTGAAAGACAGACAAACAACTGATAAAATAATTCCTTGTGTTTTCTGCTGGATTTGGTGAGTATCTGGCAACCTAAATATTGACTCTGACTGCAGTACCACTTTTGGCCAGATTTTTACATACTGCTCCTTTAAACAAAATTAGGCTCAAGGAAAAGGCAGCAGATGTTAAATGATTACAACAAGCACATAATTGTTTTTTTGGCCCAGACACATGTAATTATAGGTTTTTGTAAAATGTCGAGCCTTTAGTGAAGTTCACCGTTATAATGTATAATTATAGTGAGCTTTAAAAAGAAAAATCATACAAAATTGCTGGACATTTGTTTATAATTCTGAGTGGGACGCACACTGATGAGCCGGGCTTTCTATTTGAGGTTTGCATGTTCTCCCCGTGTCTGGCTGGGTATCCCCGGGGCTCAGCAACTACTTCACTGATTAACTATTCAGTAAATCAAAGCTATTACCACATTTTTCAATTATGCACAATGTTTATTTTATTTTCTCTTTTTAAGCAGGAAATATTTCTTAAAGTGATTACAATTATTTGGATTATCAGTTAATCTAGCAGCAATTCTTCTTTGACCCCAATAAAGCAAACGTAAAGCCACCAGAGGACATTTCAATGGTCTTTTGTCTATTCTCTCAATAAAAACAAGACATTTACACAATTCCTGACATTGTCTTATGCAATTACTTCCCTGTTTGTGTATAAACATCTCTCAATCAAAGGTGATGAAGATCAATTACTAAAAGAGTTGATGTCTAATGAGCAATCGGTAATTACAGCCCTGAAAGTGAGTAATGTTATTTCGTCGTGTGATTCTGTAATTATAAAGTGTTTGTTTAATTGACAGAAGAATAATGAGAGAAAACAGGACATTCATTTTGGTTTTCGCCCTAAATTAAGTTTAAGATTGTGATGCTTGTGAAAATTACAAGACTTGTTTATTTGCACTTAGATAAGGTTAGATCAGAGCAGAGCAAACTCTTTTTAGTCCTTTACCACATTTAACAAGTAAAGGTGCACGTTATTAATCCCCGTAGGGCAATTCAATCCTCTGCATTTGACCCATCCTGATGCTGCTAAGGCTCACGTCAGGAGCAGTGGTCGCCGTAGCAACAGCGCCCGGGAACCCATCTCCAGATGTTGACGCTCGGCTTGGTCAGGACCGGAGCTGGAGGATTTAACCTAGTGAACAATGAGTTTTTTTGTGATAGGGCAAGCACGGGGAGAACATGCAAACTCCACTCAGAACGTTTGTGTCCGGGATTCAAACCCAGGACCTTCTTGCTGAGAGGTGAGAGTGCTATCATAAAGGTTCGTCTTGATGAAAAGTGTTCTTCTCTTTGAACTATTTATTCCATTATGAAAGTTCACTGACATATTACTTTTATTTGAGTTTGCATATTCTTTTCTGGTAGATTATTGTGAACAAAATTCGTTCAGTTTGTTTTGAACCCAGACTAGACCAAATATAAATGCAATTATGTTAAAACCGAGTGATCGTTACAACAGTGTGCACTGTGCAGATGTCAGTACTTTTCCACTTCATATTTTGCAAATGTTAGGTCCCAGGTTTTAAGTCTATGCTGCAAAACTCTGGTCGTTTCTTTTGACAATATCTAAAATGTCTTCTGCTGTGACATGATGCCAGATTATTATATATTTTTAATTTATATTTTTTAATACATGCAACCTCTTGAGCCCTGAGAGCGTTCTGAAGGCTAAAGATCTTTTAAAATATATATGCATTATTTTTTTCTATTTTCTTGGAATAACTACTTTAAACATATATTGATAAAAGGTCAAATATGATTGTACATAGTCTTTTTTTTATTTTTTACCCATGTTCTTCTTGGTCAAGGTTATAACATTGCTATATATAAGAACCAAATCACTTTTTTCCACTAGAAGACAAGAACATTCCTTAACTCTGTTTTGTACAAATATACAGTCTTTTAAATTACACTTTGGGAGCAGAATTACACAAAACCCTTTCTTTCCCTAAAACATAATTTATAATAATAATGTGCAGGAAGAAGAGTGTGAAATAGACATTGTGAGAGAAACCCCAGTCTGCGTCCTCACCGGGTATGCGGCTGTGAAAGTTCCCGTCGCAGTTATACCCATTGAACTGCGCCTCCACAGAAAACGTCTTTCGGAAGAGTAGAAGAATCACAAATATATGTTCCATCTCAGCACCTGAAACAGCACATTTTCGTTAAACTACAATTCAGTTTTTGACATCTGTCAGTTCTGCAAAGCCTCAAAGGTGATACGCAGCTCAAAGTGAAATCTCATATTGAGTTTTAAAACGAGGCTGTGTTCTTGTGCTCAGTCAGAGGCGAGAGGTGGGCCCTAAAGATTCGGAGCTATCTCACGATTTTGCCTTCATAAGAAGATCTTTCGCTTTGGCTGCGAAACACAATCAAAGCAGACAAATGTCACGTTGAATTATCTCTGAATACCTGCCGCGTTCGGCCTCAAAGGGATCGTGATGGACAATTTTCCGATAACTGATGATATTTCCGGTGGATAATGTCGTATCTTAGCGCGCTCATCTAATTGTCCTTTTATCACAAAATTATCTGATTTGCTCTAACTTTCAAATTACTAAACAATGTTCTTATCTAAATCTGAAACGGTTTGCTTCTACTCCTGCTTTGATTTTTTTTGGTCACATAATTACATCAGCTCTCGCCCAATAAGTCAAATAGTGACTCAGAGGGCTCGCTCTTGAAAGTATACAAATTATACACTGCAAAAAATGACAAAATTTAAGGTAATAAATGCTTGAATCAAGTCTGTTTCATCTCAATTTAAGTTTATTCTGACTGTCTTAAAACAAGATTTGCAAATGGAACTAGCCATTTGGCCTTATTTAAAGCACTGTTGCAATATATTTCTAATTCCAAGGAAGACATTTCTTGAATTTTCTTAGATCTTTTTAAAACAAGACCTTTTTGCTTGTCCCAATGACCAATCTTGTTTTCAGACAGTCAAAATGTGCTCAAATGAAGATAAAAACACTGGATTTAAGCTTGTTTTTCCTTATTTTGTGTTATTTTTTGCAGTGCAGTATGTTTTCCATTGAGATAAAAACAGCCTGTTGTGTGTTCTGGTTTGAGGAGTTGGGTAAACGAAATGTATAAGAAGTATTCAGGTACGCAAGCTTTAAATCTGTGCTCCTTGTTGTTTGCATTTCTGTTTGAAAGATGGTCCCAAAGTATTCCTGTGAGCGAGCTTGTCTCTACATAAACCTGCCTAAATAAATGGCCTGGAGGAGGACACCAAAATGTTCAAACAATTTTTCCAATTGCCAAAAGAAGTTTAGAAAATGTAACTTTTAGAGCACACTAGAGATACCATGATAAAACAGTTAAGAGGTGCACGGGATAATGGACTAAGTGAAGTCTCCCAGGATATACTCTGTCCTGTGATCCTCCAGCATTGGCAAGATTATAAAAAGAAAAGAAAAAATATGTAAGGGATAATGTGAAGAAAGTTTTGAAATTACAGTCAAATCAACGGAGCATTCTGTGAGGAGCCGTGTGATAAATGTATATAGAGTTTTAACCTTCAATTTTCTTGGATTAACGTAGGTTATGAACCACATGCAGAAATGTACTGCTGCCACTGAAACGATACTCTTTATCTTTTACCAGAGGAAAATGGAGAACTCAAAATGTAGACTATAATAGGGAGTAGAAGCCTTTCCATTACTTGGCTGTATTTGATTCACAAAAAAATGAAACGTTTCCTTCTCTATGCAGAAAAAGAAATGACTACCACTTAGCTGATTCTGAATCTGAAATTCTGAAAATACATTCTGAAATACCAAAACAGGTTGGTTCAAGCTCTAGTTTCACATTTGTGTATGTTTGGTCTCTGTCATAACTTTAGATTAGTTCTTTTCAGACAGAGAAGTGAAAAGAGACGGCCACCCTCACAAAGCCAGTTGCCTCTCAGCTCAAAGCGTCTCTTTCTTACAAGTATACAAAAGAAAAATGAGATCAGATCATAGCTGATTAGTTCACAAGAAATACTTCTCACAAATTAATTACTCATGAGAGAAATAAAGAGGCATTAAAAAGGTGTTAAAGAGGAGAGGTTAAATCAAATATTTGGATAAATTTAAGCAATATACACGTAATATTCAGGCAGACTCATTCAATGCAAAGTGAGATATATACAAGCCATTATTTGTTAAATAATAATCATACACAGTTTCTCCCAAAATTTTAATATTTCCAAAGTGGACTGTAAGCAATGATTGTCAAAATTATAACAAATAAAAGCACATCTGTCACTTTGCAATGAAACAACACAACATAACGGTTTCACATTTAAGTCAAGCCCTCACACACAAACACACACACACATGTACACAATCACAACTAATGTTTTTTTTATATATTTGTATAATTGATTAGTTGACTAAATAGAAGTAGTATACGTGCTGTGAAATACCGAAAGGCAAAGGCAACATGAAACACGCACCGGGCTAGTTTATGGTATACTTTATATAGTCCCATATGGGGAGACAACCTCAAAGTCCAGCCTGAAAACTTACCCTTCAGTCAGGTCAGCGGCTCTCCATAAGCTCGGGCCGGTCGACTCGGCGGTCTGCACAGCATCCCTAACCTGGAGTCTAGAAACAGGAGCTGGGGATGCCACCGGTCAAAAAGACCTCAACGCATAAGAGATTCATTATTTGAACATGCCAAACAAAAAAAAGCTGTCCAGTGCCCTACATGGGAAAGTTCGTCATGTGTCAGGGCATTTTACAAAGCCTTTCACGTTGGCCGAAACATGAGCAGCTTTTCAGGGTTCCCACTCATATCCTTTCGGCCCAATCTGGCTCTGTCACTGCTCACAAATGGTTTTGACGCCGCATGAGGTCTGTTGGCGGCGGGAGGGGGGTGGAATTATCTTTTCATCAAGCTCGGCCTCGCTGACTGAGATGCTCCCTGTTCTCGCCCCCCTACCGAAGCCCTCTGCAGTGGGGTAGAGCCGGGGCCTGCACCGCGCCGGCTGCCCACAGTGCTAGAACTCCATGATTTTGTGTGTGTGTGTGTGTGTGTGTGTGTGTGTGTGTGTGTGTATGTGTGTGTGTGACCAGGGCTCAGTCAGCACAGCAGCAGGCGATCCAGGGTGTCTATCCTCCCTGAAGTTTGATTCCTGTGCACAAGTTAAAAGGCAAAAGTTCTTGGTGTCTGGGGGATTATCCTCTCTTCGCTGTCCTATTCTCCATTTCTTGTTGGAAGGGACACTGAGGGGAAGGAGTGCACTGAAAAACTATTTTTTTTCAATACATATAACATTTTTTAATAACTATTACTTTTAATATTAACGTCTTAACGAGCGCGAGGTCTGTACAGAGAAATATCAAACCGCTGTCTTTTTGTACAGACCGAGCCGTGGCGAATTGTCATGGCAACGGTCCGAGATGGGAAAATATCAGACCAAAAATCAGCCAATCAGAGCACGCGTATGATCCAAGTCATATAATAAAGGCATTTATTGTTATTTTCTATTTTCATACATGGACATTGCATAATGACCAATGGCCTGTATGTCGTGCCAGGGTCATCAAAAAGGCTTCATGGCTTATTGTCATTTGTTGTCAGAGGCAGCAGGAAAGAGGGTTTTTGTATATATTTAGTTATTCTTGATATTTTTGATACATATTTACATATATCATTTTTTTGCTTACAATTAGATTTTTGTTACGTTTTTATTTTTGCAAAATATGTCAATTTTTCTTCAGAGATCCAGACATTGCAATTGATTAGAAATACACAAGCAATGTTTTTTTTTTTGTGGGGACAATAATAAATCCCATCCAATCATATACAGTAGAATTGAAAATGCATGAAAGAAATACCCAGCCCGATACGGAGGGAGTTACACAGCATTTTGGTTCCAACTTTGCAATTTCAGAAAGAAAATCCTAAGAGCCCTTGTTCAATTTTACACTGAAAAATCACCTACTTTTTCTCATCTATTGTGATCATTTTGTTCCAGCTTTTTCCTTTGTTGCAACTCCCAATTTTGAGTGCATTACTGTAGCTCCTATATCCATCCTTTGAAGCATCTTAAAAAAAATTGTCTTTAATCCAGTGTACTTACCTTATCATCTGGTCCACGAATAACAATGACCCTAATGCTTTTCTGACGTCAAAAAAAGTCTGGCAGTTTGCATACACATTTCTATTCATGAATATTAGTCACAAAAATCCACCATTTTGCTCAAAACCTTTAAAAAAAATGTTAATAACAAAGCAAAGAGGAGAGATTTGCTCAGGCTCCTCTCATCTCAAGCCCCGAGTTGAAGTGATGCTCCAAAGCTGGGGGCTTGTCTTATTTTTTAATTCTAATCGGGACAATTTGTAGTGGCTAGAGACTTGGCAAAAAGTAGAAAAAGGGGAACAATGAGCATCACTTTGAGAAGGGGCCGATAGTGATCTAGAGTGGGACAGCACCTCCATTACCCAAAGCAGCATCATCTTCCAGGAATCGGAGCAAACACTGGTGCAAGAGGCCAGTCCTGGACATTTATTAGCTGGGTCTAACAAACAGGGGTGTACATTTGAGAAAGAAGAATTACATACACATGAATCTGTCTGTGGGAGTTGGCGAGGAAAGCAGAGGTAACGTCTGAGACTGCGCGACAGATAATAATAATAATGATTTTTATTTGTACAGCACTTTTAAAAACAATGTTTACAAAGCGCTGCACAGTCAGCATGATAAACAATAAAACTGTTTATTTTTAAAGCTAAAAATGTATCAAATTTATGTATAAAACACTTTAAGAATAGAGTTTATCATCAGTATATGTTAGAAACAATTATAGCAACAAATAACAACAGAAGAATTGAGCATGAAAAGAAATGGAATGTCTGCTTACCTGAGTTAGAGATATAAATATTAGGTGTACTTGCTATGCCATTTGTTATGTCGTAAATGTTTTGCTAATTATATTGTATTTTGTTTATGGATTTTGATTGGTATTAGTGACTTTATTTTATTTCTCATTTTCTATGTTATTATTTTCTTTTGCTTTGTGCTTCTTTTTTGTCTATAGTCTGTGTTCAAAATACTAAGAAAGTGTGGATGATTGTGGTTGTGATTGTGGTATGAATGCAAGGGGGAGTGGCTGGGTTTGGGTGGGGGGTTTTGAAGTTTGTC